CTGAGAATCTTAAAGAGACATTGTCAACACCAGATGTTTATTTCTATTAAACAGTCAGTATGTGTTTTCTTTCTGACACTATACAATTTCTTTTGATCAGTATAAATAGACAATTTAGGTTCTCGTGTAATTAAACTTCCATCTCACTTTTATTTCAAGCGGTTAAATTCCGCTCAATATTACATTTCATTTCCTTCTATTTTTTTGTGAATTTTATATTAACCCAAATGAGATAGGTTATCTATTTATTCGATCTGGAACATTCAAGCTTGAGGAAACCTTTGAAGAAATAGAATAGAGTTTGATAAGGATAGCAACTGAATTGGTCTCTTGTACAAGGTTAATACTCCCAGCCTCTTTTTTATGAGGATGGCAACCTTGCTCATTTTACAAGGATACCAATTTAAGCTATTCTTATACGGAAGGCAACTCAAGCTGATTTTACACAAGGATGGCAACTTGTGCTTATTTTACACAAAAATGGCAACTTGTGCTCATTGTACACAAGAATGGCAACTTGTGCTCATTTTACACATGAATGGCAACTTGTGCTCATTGTATACATGAATGGCAACTTGTGCTCATTTTACAGATGGCAACTTGTGCTCATTTTACACAAGGATGGCAACTTGTGCTCATTTTACACAAGGATGGCAACTTGTGCTCATTTTACACATGAATGGCAACTTGTGCTCATTTTACACAAGGATGGCAACTTGTGCTCATTTTACACATGAATGGCAACTTGTACTCATTTTACACAATGATGGCAACTTGTACTCATTTTACACAAGGATGGCAACTTGTACTCATTTTATACAAGGATGGCAACTTGTACTCATTTTACACAAGGATGGCACATGAACTCATTTTACACAAGGATGGCACATGAACTCATTTTACACAAGGATAGCAACTTGTACTCATTTTACACAAGGATGGCAACTTGTACTCATTTTACACAAGGATGGCAACTTGTACTCATTTTACACAAGGATGGTACATGAACTCATTTTACACAAGGATGGTAACTTGATCTCAAGCTTTACACTTACATCTTCAGTTTACAAAAGGCTGAAATTCATCTTATTTTACAAGGATGCAAATTTGGATTCTTTTGTACAATGTTGACAACATTTAGTCTCATTTAAATTTTCATGATCAGCTTAGCTACGGTTATGATATATATAGAAGGAAAATTAAGGTGGGAAAAGTCTATTCATATATTTTGCATTTACCATTATCACCTCCTAATAAGCTCATGATCAATTGTCTGAACTTGTTCGAGATCAAAACATTTTGCTATCTGGTATGTAGATCATTACTAATTACTAGTTTGTAATGCTAATAGTATGCACAATCTGATAAGCTATAGTCTCCATTGACCCTCGATTCTGAATATAACTGATTGATAGGTAAGTAAAGCTAAGTGATGTCCTTAGAACCTTACTACAGAGGTTAAAAGATTTTTTTCTAGAAATGAACATTTAACAACAGCAACAATATTTTCTGTTACAATATCAACATATGCACCAGTAAATGAAAAATTGGAGCTGCAATATTCCTTTTACCACACAAAAGACATGTATTTTTCTTCTGGAGGCCATTTTATCACATTTTCTGTAAATTTACCTTCTTAAATTACTATATACTAATGGTCTACATAATCTTTATTATGACCAAATTTAAGCACTTGGGGTTTTTTGTGCAAGAAATAACGAACATTGGTCATATTTCATAAAATGGCATTAAAGACCATCATGTGCTTATTGTGTTCTTGATGCCTTGGACCATTTGGTAAAGTCATGTGATTGCTTAATGAAATGCAGTGTGGTGCTTCCTTTTTTATAAATAAAAGCTCTGTGTCCACTGGTCTATTTATCAATTTGATGGTTATGCTATGACTATCTAACAGATGTTGTACAAACAGGATCTATTCAATATTCCAGTAGGAATACTAAAATATTCATAGAAAAGAAATATGATATGCAAAATAGGAAGAAACTGACAATTTCTTGAGATGTAATTAGTAAAAATATTGTCTCATGAAAACGAGGACTGACGGTAAAACTTTGACAACAACTTTGCTTTTCTACTACAGTTTTCTGGTATTAGTGTTTTGAATAAGAGTACTACCTCACAGAATGGACATAAAATTTAAAGTCTCAAACTTAGAGGGACAGCTAGGCCATTATTTCTGACCTATCATGCTTTAGTTACATCAGTGAGACTTATCAGGTGCCAGGACTAAAGAATAGAATCTATACAAGACAATTAAAATTCTTTAAAAACGCTTCTAAGCATGATTCTAAATTACTTAGTTTAATGAATTATTTACTGGAACTTAATTTTCTGAATTTATTAGATTATGTTGTTTAATTAAGACACCTGGTAAGTCAACAGATGAACAAAGACTTATTTTGGTCAAGTTAAAAACTTTAATTTTTTTGGTCATCTAAGTGAAGAAAGATCAATGCAAAAATCACAGTGTGTTAGGGTGTATTGAGACGAGCCTCACTGAAAGCACTGGCCTAGGTCACAGAGTATCTTAGATATAATGCCCCAGCTCTGATTTCAGTTGAACTCAATGGCATCTTAAGAGTCATGTTGACCCTGCTTCTTATTCATTTATAGACCTGAATTAACCATATCAACTTGTTCACCAAGCTATATTCTGCCAATATTTCAAGACATGCATTGTTTCAGCACCAGGTATTCATTACCAGTGAGGCATTTATTTATTATGTCAATCTGGTTGTCTTGAAACCAATTCTGGTATTCTCATTCCATCTCAAGGAGTTTCTTACTTAGCTCATACCACAGAAGTCCTATTTTGAAAGCTTTACCTTGTTTGCATAACTTGCTGTCCTGATGAAGATTGTGTATCTGAAACACGAGTTGGTAATTAGTCTTATAACACTTCACAATATGATTAATGTTTAATAAAATTATTAGAAGGATACAAGTGTCTAAGTTCAAATTTATATAGCAAGCTAAGAAAGTTATTTCTTTTGTCCTTTTTTCTATCTCTGAACTAATAAAATATTTTATGATGTTATAATTTTCATTTATTGCTTCACAAGTGAATTATACCCCCTGATAATATCTTATCAGCATTAATCACTTGTTAATAGAAATAAATCTAATATGGACCGTGTCTATGGCGATGAACATCCATGTTGGATATTTGATGGCAAGGGCAATAGCTGAGGCGAAAAACTCTCCTGAAAACTGAAATGAAAAGTAAGACTACCATTTCCGCATCACCTTGTGCTTTTTAATGGTTTGTAATATAATCAAAAATATTTTGTGGCGCAGTGTCTCAATAAAAGGATTCCAAGATTCAGAATAATTGAACTTAGTAGATATAAGATCCTTGCTGAATTGTTCCAGCAGTCTTTTGACAAGACTATCAAGTCTGTTCTATAATTTCTTTACAGCAATAGCATAAAGTTAGGTCATGGACCATTAGCAGTTGTTATCCTTGTTAAAATATAACGGATGTTCTTTAAATTAAAAATATGGCACAGAGACCTAGACCTCATAGTACACTGTAACACTGTGTGCCCTCTGCCAGTGCTTACATAAGACTTTTTTCAATACACCTTAATACTGAGTTGAATAACAACAAATATTTAACCATTTCAAGACTCTGCTGTAGGTCTATAGAGTGAAATGGTTTTATGCAATCAATCAACACTTTATGAGAAGAGGATGTCAACCTCACAGCATGGTTAAAAATCAATTACACTTCAGTTGGAGTGCAAAAATGATTAAGGTTTGTTTGTGACAATAAAGAAAGAGAATTCCAGAGGCTGTTTTAAAGATTTCAGGACAGATAGAAGACTTATGTTGATTCCTGTCAAAACATTTTCTCCCTGCATACTAAATACTATAATGATAGCTTGATGACCAGTCCCAGGGGGAGCCAGGGGGGCATGCCCTGAGAGATTTAATTGACTTGAATTACTTGCAGAATCACATAGTTGAGGGCTTGTGGATCTTCACAATGTCAAGCTAATAGTACAAACTTTGTCTTATAAGAAGTTTTCAATAGCTTGACATTGTGAGGATGTTGATGACCAGACGTCTACACATCCAGAAAGCCTAGCTTAATTCAGCATCAGTTTTGCTGATTGATTCTCTTTCAAACTGCTCAAAATCGACAGAGCACAGTTTAAGTCTATTAGTTCAGTCTTTCCATGTTTGTCAACTTGGTCCTTCTTCAATGACTCTCTTTGATGCATGAATTAGTAGTTTGGATGACAATAGATGATCGACGTCATAACATCAGTACAGTGGAAACTAGTAATAAGATTAATTTACCAAACAATACTTGGTTATCTACTGTTCTATCTATAATTCATCCTGTCTATTCCCTATATTCATTATTATCTGTCCCTCTAGAGAGTTCTAGCCATCATTAAAAAGAATAATTTAAAAAAGTTATCATTAACACTAATAAGTAAGTGTATGTTTATTTACATTAGTAGTTATGAAAGGTTGTCATAAATGAGAGGTTGATGGGTGTATTCTGTTAAATACACAGCTTTATCGTTGACATGATTGAATCTATTTGACCCCATTATTTCATTCTTTTAAAACAGTTTTGAGCCTTTGTCTTCTGATTTTGGTATCTAAAAATTTCAATAAATAAGACAGTTAACACTGTAAGTATTAAAGATGGGTTTCCTTATATTTTTTAGGGTCAAACGTTTTGATTAATAGATGTTTCTAATGAATTATCATGTATTCTTAATCATATCATTATGTTCTTATTGCATATAATTAAAAGTTTTAACCAATCACAAATATTCATGCATGTACAGTCTGGATAAACTAAAAAATACTTTTTGACCTTTCTTGATCAGTCACTCATTGGAATTCTGCTAGTTATTCTCTTCTAATTTATCTAATTATGAATTAATTATGGAAATTTGAGACAAACTGGTATTTTTCCCAAGTCATTAGAACACCTCTACTTTCTAATCGTTTCTTAAATGGAAAAAAGGGAACCAATCTTTAAAAATCAAGCAGGAAAAGTCCAAAAGCCTACAAAACAGACAAGGTAAGCAAGAAATGTCAACCATCATAGGTCATTCAAGATGAAAGTTAATGATGGAAATGTTGCTTAGATGAGTTAGTTCTGACAACAGGACACTGGTTGAAAAGCCCTCTGTCTACTACATATTGTATTGAATCAAAAGTTGTCAAATTACTGAATAGAATTCTAATCAATTTCCATCTTTAAGAAATACATCAAATCTTCACCATTATGGCTCTAGCATTCTTGATCTGAAGAAGTAAGAAGTATATTGATGCAACTTAATAAGGACAAAATGTGACAAAAGAAAACTTTACAGAAGGCTTTGTAGTACTAATTTATAAATAAATGATTACTGGTTGTTGAATTGTAAAGTATAAAAGAGGACCTTCAGCTAAGGAGTATGAAAGATAGTAAAACAATGGAAATGTTGTTGTTTTGGAGTTGAAATGTTGGTATAGCAGGCAATAGTTATGTTTATTGATTGAAAGATTTGTAATTTGACCGAGACTACTATTTCTTACCAATCGATAATTTTACCTTTCAATAATCATATGGCGCAGATAAAACTTGGCGGCCAGTAAAAACGCTAGATCTAACAGGTGTAGTATTACTATGGTGAAATGCCATGATAACAGGTGTGCTACGAAGATAAGATCAATATTGCAGCCTATTTAGCCTGGTCTCAAATTTCAGATGTACTTTAAGACTGTAATCAGAGTTTCAGTGATGACTGCTAAATCAATAAATATTTAAAAGCTTTCAGGCAAACCTCTGTGACACCAACAATTACAGATCACAGTAGCAATTCTGTATTCTGTTCACTCAAATAGATTTATTGCTCACTTCAGCGAGTCAACAATTTGGTTTTTATTAGTAAGCTATCACATGATATTCAACCCTATTTGAATATGACAGCATTTGGTCCAAGTGAATTGATATTTTGATTTTGAATCAAAAACCGTTTTGAGTTCATGCAAAGGTTTTGTTCAGCGATTTTTGTCGCCGACTAGAATCTTGTCAAGAATTTCACTGACTGGTTGAGGACTCGAGAGGAGACAAAAATCTCCAGTCGATAATTTTCCACTTTGGTGATAATCACGTGCGGATCATGCAATTGAAAGAAAAATGAATCTGATTGGATGATGACGCTCTGTCTTGCAGACGATAAAACAATTGGCGACAAATAGTAAACTTGGTTGATATCATAAATCCTATCTGCCAGGCAATAATCTCCAAAAAATCGACGACGGAGATTGTTTGTGTGACTGCACCCTAATAAAATAAGAAAATTAAAGAAAGAAGATAATTAACTTGAACTAGTAGCTGTTAGCGAGAGAGCAAAATGAACAAATTCGAATTCTTCTAAAAAAGTGTTCATTACTTTTTGAATTTATATTTTACAAGAAACAAATAAAAACATTGACCATAAAACTTGACTCTTTGATCTTCTGATTTATTATTTTTAGAAACTAGACCTTATTGACCTTCTTTTGAAACACTTTTATCATGGGAGTTTTAATAACCAATACTACAGTGGTACTTATTTCAATCAATGTTATACTATATTTCTAGTATGTCTTCTAGAAACAAATCAATGAATTTAAATGCTACATTAACTCTGAATTATCTCCCTTCCTTTTCTTCAGACCACAGTAAGGTGTTGATTACATTATCTGATTACTGTCAAAGAAGATTAGCTTGGGGAGTTGATCATGCGGAAGAAACAGTAAAGGGGAGCAATGGAAGGGGAATTTACTAACAAAATCTATTATCTGACAATATTGTCATCACATATACTGCTTATTGGCGTAATGAGACCAATATAATTGCCCTTTTTTCTAATAAAGGTACATACACCAAATTAAGACTTTATGCTAAAGGCTGTGTATTGTTAAAGATTCTGCTACAATTGGAAACACAATGTCACTCATGCATGCTGCACAACGTTGCCTTAATTTTAAGCAAGTTGTTGAGGCTAAACTGTTATAATTTTTTTTTTTCAACTCTTGAATTTATTAATTTATTAATATTAATGTCTCAGCCTTTTATATAAATGAGATTTTTACTTTTTGTCATAAAGTTGCATTTATAATGATACAATATTTTACACATATGGAGAAAATAAGCTGGTATTAAAATGAATGAAAGTGTTTTTCAAATCTTGAACTCACTCAAGACTGAGTGCCAGGAAATAAAACATCATATAAGCTTACTTTGAATTTCAAGTTTTATAACATGAGCTTATAAGGCTGATATTATGTCTGTTAGTCTGTAAAGGTTGCTTGAGGGGTGGCTCAGTTCTATGTCACTTAGTTGCGTGGTGGACAAAGACTTTTAAGTCGGCTTCAGATGGAATATAAGTAAATATTTGAGAATATAAGATTGTGGATGGAGATGTCTGGTGATAATTAAATCTTCTTCAACAATTCTATATATAATATTATAGATACTCTATCTTAATTTAACCTGTACTTTAATCTCAATGATATATTCAACTCTGATATTTCATTACTTACTTTCCGAGTGCGTCAGTGTCATTTCTTTTTAAGGACAATTGTGCAAAATCTGTAACAGAGTCCTTAAAGATGTGTTCCCTTATTTTCAATTAAGAAAATGAAAATGCTAATACTTATATGAATAGAAAGTAGGGGTGTTCTAATGACTTGGAAAAATACCAGTTTGTGTTACATATCCATAATTAATTCATAATTAGCTAAATTAGAAGAGAATTACCAACAGAATTCTAATAGCTGACCAAATAAGAAAGGTGAAAAAATCTGTTTTTGTTTATCCAGACTGTACATAACATGGGCATTTATGATTGGTTCAAACTCTTAATTATATGCAATAAGAACATAATGATATTATTAAGAATACATGATAATTCATTAGAAACGCCAATTAATCAAATAGTTTGCTTAATTTGACACTAAAAAATAAACCATTATAGTTAAGCCAAGTTGTTTATGCACATTTAACCCATAAACACAAACAGTCCACTTTATTTTGGTTGGTCATATTTATGTTTTGAATGAGACCAGACGTACACAAATACTGTATTTTAACCTGATTTTTCACACCCCTCAATCATAAAAAATCTTTAACTCAAAGGTCTGAATGATTAAATTTGACTTCTTACTCTTTTTCGTGGAATGTGCCAGAAAGATTTTGGCCAATTACATATAGTGATGTTCAATTCAACGATCTTCTGTTTCTAGCATTTCCTACAGAACGAAGAAACCTTCAATATGGGTGATTCCTTACATATAATTGAATCTTTAGTAATAGTAAAGTTATAACTAATTTTCTTATAATGATACAAATAAAAACTATATTAACTCCGAAATCTTTCTGCCTACAACATTTTATTAAGCTTATTCTTCATAACATGATACCAATTGACTTCTCAAAATATCTCGTCTTTATGGATATCATACAATCTCTTAGCAGCCTACAGAAGTACTCTCTAATTTTCATTAGTAGTTGTACTGTTTTATTCTGGTCATTATTGTGGCCACGTTTTATTTCTATGATACTCTACTAAATATAGTGTTTAGTAGACTTGAGTATATTAGTACAAGTTGTTGTTAATACTAATTGATCTATTAGTTTTGTTCTTTGACTGATTAGTACTATACTAATCAATATACTCTTGACTTTTTGTGATATCCACTATCATATTCAATAATACAAACAAGGGGAAATTCTTTAAGATTTCAAGACTCAATTGGCATGTAAAAGAAGCAGCATTTTGACTGGCTCCCTATTCATGAACTAAAATTTTGAATCTATCATTCAAATTAGAGAAAAAAAATGTGCACTTCTTTGTCTCGACAATTCAAAATGTAAAAAATAGCGATCCACTTTATTTTTAGGTATTGTTAGAATCTCAATTAATTTGACATTTATGGGATGAAAATTCTATACTTTTATGGCAAAATACTACATCACATTCTTCCCCCTGCTACATACTTACAAAAAAAAAATATCCTCCTGAAATGAAATTTGGCAAACCAATACTTCTATAAATGAATAAAAACTGAATTCATTTGCATAAATCAAAACTATCTGAATAGATAAAAAGGTCATATTATTAATTTAATGATACTAGCTTGGCTTCTCATAAAATATATTTACAGTGCACAACCACAATAACCAAAATACAACAGCTTGAATTTCTTCAAACACATTTTCTTAGAATTAAATGCTTCCAACTAAAAACATTGCTGAATTTTCCAGACACAAAATTAAGAAAATAAGCATTTTAAATATGAGATGTGAGATTTAAATCTTATTGTTTTCTATTTCAGAATTATGATACAAGTGAATCCAAATTACGAAGAGAGTTTGAAATATATGGCCCCATCAGAAAGGTAAACTTTTTTACTTATTTATTGCAAGACTTGTAAGAAGAATATTACAAACCTCTTGTCAACCTGATTATGACAGTGTCAGAAGAGTGACATAAAAGGAGGCTGTTGGTTCGGGAATTTGAGACGCTTGTGTTACCATCCTAAGAGATCTGGGGTTCGATCTCGTTAAGGCTTAGATAATACTTTGTTTTCAAACCAGTTTCTTTTTACCACTGATGCCGATCAGTACGCCTGACATTGAAAAACGTCCAGTTGCATAGATAGGACGTTAAACTTAGGTCTTTTGGACTGTGTGGTAGAGGTTGTGCAGGTCTTTTGAGAGTTGAAGATATAAAAATATAGGTTTACAAATGATGTTATTCTGGCAAAATTTCACTCATTGCACACTGCATAGTGTTGCCTGTTTAAATTGGCAAATCTGGAGCAGTCAAGTTTAATGCATGCATTCATTTCGTATCCTTTCTGTCATTTCAAATAAATAATAGTTGAATATTTTGCTTTGGTTTGTATTCTGAGTTTATAAGTTTATAAAGGTAAGAAACAGCAGGACGTTAAAATTTATTACATATTGTGCAATAATTTAATGATTTTATTAATCACTGATAACATCATTTGAACTCTTGTCAACAACATAGACGAAAAATCAATATCATATTAATCAAAACATGAAAATGAGATTTTGACCAAGATTAGTTAATAATGATAATTATAAAAAAATTTCACGCCAAGCGAGGAGATGAATTGATTTATAGGCTTTAGAAATAAAAACTACCTGCCAGGATAGCTTTTTCTCCCCAACATATTGGATACTTGTTAATTGTTTTATCTGTGAAGATAAAAGACCACAGCTATCTCCTAATATCTTTCTATTAATTATTTATTAATTCTGACTCCTTTATTCTTTGAACTATTCCATCCTTCAAATTATCTTTTGAAAGAAAACTGTTTCAAGTCTTTTGTGCAAGTTTTTACGAACATGGATATTAAAATGTTCAGGTTATAATGAGCAAATCATAATTTTGACAGAATATTTTTGATACCTTGTAAATGACGGAGGGAGTGTATTATATAGTTGTATGACAAATTTTATCGAGGCTAAATTGAGAACTATTCGATAATTTTCAAGGACAGATTTTATTTTGTTCAACATAGTTCAAAGTCAGATTGCATTTTATTCAAAATTGTTCAAGGTCAGATTGTAGGTTATTCAACATTGTTGATGGTCAGATTGTAGGTTATTCAACATTGTTTAAAGTCAGATTGCATTTTATTCAAAATTGTTCAAGGTCAGATTGTAGGTTATTCAACATTGTTCAAAGTCAGATTGTATTTTATTCAATATTGTTCAAGGTTAGATTGTAGGTTATTCAACATTGTTCAAGGTTAGTTTGTAGGTTATTCAGTATTGTTCAAGGTTAGATTGTAGGTTATTCAACATTGTTCAAGGTTAGTTTGTAGGTTATTCAACATTGTTCAAGGTTAGTTTGTAGGTTATTCAACATTGTTCAAGGTTAGATTGTAAGTTATTCAATATTGTTCAAGGTCAAATTGTAGGTTATTCAACATTGTATTTTGATCTTTATTGAAAAGTTTATTACACATTTATTATCGTGTATCTTAAAAATAATAACTTTTTATGCACTAATAAGTATTCCAATAGAGAATAATGCACACAAAAAAACACTGAATCAATACTACTCAATTTAATATAGTCTTGATTAAACTGATTTCAAATGTTACTTAAGAATTATAAAAGGCCGATCCAATCCTCTGTGTATGTAATTAAGAAATTATCTGTTTATTTATAGTCTGATAAAGAATTTGTTTGACTTTAGGGAATCGTCATTACACTTGATTTACCTATCAGATAATTGATGAGAACGTTTTACTGACCTCCTTTCTACATTGATTGTCATTCCAGATATCGTCCCACTCATGTTGAGTCTTAAATCGGTTGATAAATGAAAATAAAGTTTAAAAAAAACTTGTTGAATGCTAGTGAATTTAATGTCAATTCCCTATAGATTGTTATTGCATTCAAGCCTAACAAGAACTAAACTTTTAAATTTAGATTTTAAACCAAGTCTCTGGTACCTGCAATTCCACTAAAGCTTAGTGTTTGATGACGTCAATCATCGTGAAGGGCCTTCGTGATAAAGCATATATTGTGATTAGTGATGTCATCAAACACTTAGTTTCAGTGGAATTGCAGGAACCTCAGACATCTGATTGAAAATTGAAATGGAGCAATTGATGCTATCAGTGTCCCCAATACACAAATAATTTAGAAACCTCTTTACAATCATTTTAACACTTCTTTGCCTTTTTTCACAAAAGTTTCTTGATATTGTTTGCATATCACAAAGAATTGAAAATATAGTGCCTGATATTGAATACCTCAGCTTTAGTATAATTTCCTACATCTTCTGTATTTTAATTGAAGTGAATTTAGTATCTTGGAATTTTATTCTTTGATGTAATTTTCAAACTCTAAATGTCTTTGATGAATAATTTGTCTTGAAGGCACATTAGTCAGCAGGAGTTGTATATTCTCTTAGATGATGCGATTGTTGAATACTTGGTTTGAAAAAGACAGCTGGTGATTTGGCCTGTGTAATTTCTTATGCAGTTCTCTCTCTCTACCACCCAGAATATAATAATATACTGTCTGGCTTAGTGAACCAGATATTCCAAATGGTAATGGTTGATATTAAATAAATATGTCGACCTCTCTGATCCCATTAAATCAGAGTTGACCCTGTCGGTAAAATGATTTGGGTGAGATGGTAGATGGAAAATATTAACTTTATAACCTATTGCTCCATTCAAAGTTCACTAACTCTGGTAAAAGATGTCAGATTTTCAATCATTTTCTCCTTCTCAATATTACAATCCTATCTCATCAATCTTCATTCAGCAGGCAATCGCAATTTCATCCTCCTTATATATAACCAAATTTATATTTGTGGTCAAGATTTAACCAAATTTATATTTGTGGTCAGGTTTTAACCAAAGGTAGATTTGTGGTCAGGATTAAACCAAATTTATATTTGTGGTCAAGATTTAACCAAATTTATATTTGTGGTCAAGATTTAACCAAATTTATATTTGTGGTCAGGTTTTAACCAAAGGTAGATTTGTGGTCAGGATTAAACCAAATTTATATTTGTGGTCAGGATATAACCACATTTATATTTTTGGCCAGGATTAAACCAAATTTATATTTTGTGGTCAGGATTAAACCAGTTTATATTTGTGGTCAGGATTTAACAACATTGAACTCTTCAAATAAATAGTAAGCTTATAACTGCTTTTCTGCTTGATTCAAGTCCTTGTTATTTCAAAGGATTATTAGAATTAAGGCATTTTGACTAAAGATCTCAAAATATTTAAAGATGTTTGGATGGTTTCAAAATAGCTCAACCATATTAGCAACTTTTGCCACCTCTGGTATCAGTCTTATCAATCATGACAATGGCAATGATGAAATACCATGGTGTGACCCTACCAACCATCAGTCTTCAGATCATGATCAACAACAAACATATAAAATGGTCTGTAGTGAAGAGGAATCACTTGTTTCCGCTCCGCTTCGTGTTGGCAGGTCATCCCACTTTAATTGAATCAATAAGACAAATGGCTTGTGAGTAACTAGGTGTTCAACATGAGACGCCAATCTTCCATCTCTTTGGTACATTTGTAATTCTTGTTTTCTGAGTATTACAAAGCTGGGTATTTGTGAGTTGAATGTCAGACAAGCTGATCTTTCATAAGCTACTTGGTAATGCTCTTAGTTGATCACTGCCTGCAATGCTCTTGAGTCTTGGTGTGCACAATAAGCAAATATGATGTTTACTCGCAGGATTATAGAAGCTTTAGATGTCAAGTTTTAATTGACGTTTTATGACTTGACTCAAAATGTAACAAAGCTGCTGACAAAATTTAATTGTAACCAAATCATTTTATTGCGTGCATCAAGAGATTGTGTATCCCATCACGTTTTGAAATTCTTGCTTGATTTCAAACTGATTTGTGGGTTAGCAAAAAATATTAAAGCTTTCAACAGCAATGTTTTTTGCTTAAAAACTGGACTAAGGAACTATTGGTCATTGCCTCAGTTCAACAATGTCAACTGATAGTCTAGGTTATCTATTAAACTTCTCCTCTCTTTATAGTTGAATTGTCTGGGAAATGAGAGATGTAGTTATTATACACTAATGACTGTTATTGTAACACTGGATAGAATAGAATCTTGTCAAACCTTGACCAATAATTTGTTGTAAAATTAGGCTCAGGAATGACTTTTGTAATCAGAGTACATGTCTAAATTAGTCTTCTTTTAGTTTTATTCTAATTTGACTAAATATTTATTAAGTCTGTGCATCCTCAACTTTAAACATTTTAATTTTTGTTTTGGAAAAACTGACCAGAGATCCCAAATAGAAGGATTTGCGAGTGCTTTTTAACATTCAAGATATTGCAGTGCAACTTAAAGCTATTGTTAAAAATAGGATTCCTTATTTTTTTAGTGTCAAATTAAGCAAACTATTTGATTAATGGATGTTTCTAATGAATTTTCATGTATTCTTATTCATATCATTATGTTCTTATTGCATATCATTAACCATTCATAAACGTCCATGTATGTACAGTCTGGATAAAAAAAAATATTACTTTTTGACCTTTCTTGATCAGTCACTCATTGGAATTCTGCTGATAATTCTCTTCTAATTTAGCTAATTATGAATTAATTATGGATTTGTGAGACAAACTGGTAATTTTCCAAGTCATTAGAACACCTCTACTTTATATTCATATAAGTATATATAGCATTCTGATTTTCATAAATGAAAATGAGGAAACCCATCTTTAAGATTGCAATGCAGGTAAACCGTCTTCTCTTTTTCACAGAAAACTTCGTATTTCAATGTCAATTGGTAATTTTCATAAAAGAAAATAAGGGAACCCATCTTTAAGAGTGGAAACTGTACAAAAATCACTAAGAAAATGAAAAAGTTAGAAGCTATGTGCCCTACAAAAAAGTTGTTATCAAATCTTACAGATAAACTCTTAAGTAAGCCGACTATGAAAAAAATGTATTCATTTAAACATACAAGATGAACTATAAGATCACTGAACTACTTTACAAGTACTTTTCACACAACGTTTTCAAGTGTGTTAAAAACATGATATTTGTCAGTGACTGATGTAGTTTTGATTTAAAAAAAAGGATGAAAAATGTTGTACATATACCAAATATTCCAAAACAATCATTTGTATTCATTACTTTTTGAAAGCTCAATTAATTTATCTCTTGTCAAATTTAAAAGAAATATATTAGAAAAACATTTGTTCGCAATTATAACTCTATATCACTCTTTGACTTCTTTACTGTGAGAATTAATTGAATGAAAATAATCAGCCTTGAAATAAAAAACTCCCTGAGATATTTTTGGCATTCAGAAAAGATTGAAACGGAGAAAAATAATACAGCTTCTGATACTAATTGGTAGCAAAACATATAAATCAACAAACTGACTGGCGTTGAAATTGGAATAAAAGAGTCTTTGAAAACATTAAACATCTGGAACGAAAATACATAAAAGTATTTCCATGTTCCATGCACTGTAATTATAGTTGTGTAGGGAATTACCAACTTGTTTGAAAGAATCCTAATTGATTAGACAAAATCATAGAATTTTAAGGTTAAGCTTGTAATCAAATGATTTTTAAGTTTGTTAGAAACAATTTCATAAGGGCATTTTTATTATGTTATATTTATGAACGTATATAAATTGAGAGAAAAGGATGATGAAAAGGTAACAAAGTACTTTTCAACACAAGTGCACTGCAGCACTTAAAAATATGGTTACAACTATTAAAGTTATTATACCATTTAAGTCTTGGAACTAGAATGACAATTCATGTGCATTTAAAAAAATCGCGCTAATATCTCTGCAAAAAAAATACAATGAAAAATATTTTAAATGTAGGTTTTACTGAAATTAAAACTTAAAAGCAGATTCAAAAAAATGATAGACACCTGATCACAATACAGGTTGTACACGTCAAAGATTCTTTGACAGTTGGAAGTCAAAAAAGAGCTGGCTAATGGCCCTGTCCTGGCAAAATTTCCCTGCAAAATTTACACAGCAAGTCTTCATTAGCGTAGGACGTAAAACTCCATTCATTTCATTTCTTTCTTGATCAAATTTTGATAACAAAATGTCAGAAATATTTTGAAAAAGTAAATAAATAGGTTGTTTCTGAGAAAGTTGCTCAATACATGTCTACTGTAATATATTGGTCTGGTTCTAAAGGGTAAGGACAAGATTAATGATATTTTGACAATGATAATTTTCTTTTGTTCTGTCAGAGATTTACGGGGACACTCATTGGCTGACGGGAATGAATATGTCTAGTGGTCTTTTCATTATTTTTCATGTGTGACAAATCATGTGAGCCTGTATCTATCAATATAATGTAAGTATCAAAGTGGTTGATTAACATTAACAGCATTTGATGCAGTTTCAGAGGCTAGAGCTGCTGAAATAGCCTACTGGAATATCTCTAAGGCTGCTTCCGCTGATGTTAAATAACAGTTTTTGAGGTCAAAGAATTCAGAAATATTCAAATTCTGAAAAGACTGGTTGGTATCTAACTATGATGAATAAAAAAAGAAGAAAAAAAAAGGTTCTTACAGCTTCTGTTGCAGCTGTAGCAGCTTGAGCTGCTTGTGTAGCTGAATTAACCTTGATAGAAACTCTTCGAGCAGCTGCTATGGATATCCTTCGTAGGTACACATCATTTTGCATAGATTTTTCGGGCA